TGAGTGTGTTATCGTTTTCCAATTTTCGGTGTATGTGTTGTCGTTATCGTCTTAGGTGAGTGTGTTATCGTTTTCCAATCAAAAACCCTGCGTCACGACTCCAATGTCCATCCTTTACATATCTCCTATGACCGATAAAAAACCACGCATCATATCAAGATCCTGCTTGACTAAGGGTCAACAAGAGGCACTACAATCAGGCCTTCAGGAATCTAAACAGAAGATCGCCATTGTAATGTCAAGAGTATGACATAACAGACAACTGGCGCGTTTAGCTTCTCTTCGGCCGAGTTTGCCGGTCTGTACTTTGAACGTCCAGCTACTTTCAACCAGCCGCCCGAAACTTGTACGTTTGCCAATTACCGCACTCTGAGCCAAAGCACGTTATCCAGACCAAGCCTAGCTCATCCTGACTCCAAAGCTTCTTGCTGAAAGCTGGCCTGCATGGTATCCCAAAGCGGCAGGAAGAAGAAGTTGCGTGCCTTCCAGTTGCGAGAGCCGAATGCGTGTTCTTTACTCGTGGCCGCTGATGAGGCGCAGGCTTGGAAGTACATGACCAATCGGACATCGGTGTGCCCTGACGCAAACTCTATGAACCTCCAATCCTCAGCAAGAAGCATCCACATTAAGTAATCAACAGGGAGACGTGGAAAGCCACAAGCATCTGCATACAGCGTTGCACAAATCTCAGGCTCGGTCATAGACCAGCCGTTTCCCATAGCGAAATCCGTCCACGGTATCAGCCACTACGCGGGCGACCTTGCGCACACTCCCAGGCCTTCGCTGATAGACCTGTGAGATTGCTGCGGGGTCGCTGGTTGGCGGAAGCAGACTGACCTGGTATTTGACCGTGTCACCCACAGCACCTAAGGCAAAGGTCTCAAGGCCAAATCCCACATCATACTTGCGCTTTGTGCTGGGTCCACCATCTGCCTCTTCTTTGGAGGCCGCACAGGCAGAGGTGCAGAATGGCATCCACTGGGGATAGGCGCTGACATCCGAGACCATCTGGAAAGCAATTTCAATGGGCACGGAGACATCTCGCTGGATGGCCAGGCTGCGGGACAGTCGGTCCTTTGCAGCCATTGCTGTAAATTCATGCGCATCCTCTTTGTCATCCACACCCGCATGCGGCATAACAGAAGTAGCAGCTCGCGAGCTCTGCATGTCCTCACGGATACCAAGCTCGCCCTGTACATCCCTCTCCTGGGTAGCAACCTTGGGCACATCCTCTGCCATCTTCTCCAATAGCCCTGATGCCTGAGAATGGTCTGGGAACATATCTTTCTGAACCTGCGCCCCGAAGAGACTCTTCTGCATATGCGACAGCATAGACGGAGCAATGCTCAGGATGTCGTGCAGCGCGTAGCGATACACCTCTGCTTCTACGAAATCGGTTACCAGCATTGCCTCTGGCTCCTCAATCAAGGCATCCACCAGCCTATTGACGGCCTGGCAGAAAAGTAACGTATGTACGGGTTCTCAGGGTTGAGGGTTGATTCCGGATTTCAGGGCTTGGGGTTCAGGAGAATCCTAGGAATTCAGGTTTAGGGTTGAGGGATTAGAGCTTTTGATTTAGGATTGAGGGCTAAGCGTCGAGAGTTTGAGGTTGCACGTTTAGGGCTCAGGGTGTGGCACAACTCGTGATCCAGAAACATGAGCCATAGAATGTTTAGAACCCCGCACGAAGCGACCTGGTCATTGAATTCGTTGACGGGGAGTCGGTGCTCAAAGACATCCATCTCCGCAATCTGCAGCTGCTCAGAGTAACCCTAAACCCTAAGCCCTAAACCTGAGTCTGATAATCTCATGGTTGCTGTTCTGCGACTGAGGGTGTCACTTCGGGCATGCCACCTTCCGTTGGAAGCAGCCTTGCGTCCCAAGACATCTGGAACCAAGGCTGCTACATGGGCTGAAAACTGTTATAGTATCTTCTAATATATCTTAATATAATAGGGTATATTATAATGTGTTATTATTGATACCTTATAATATAATAGGGCATAATCGGGTATGTTATATAGTATATCATAGGTTATAACATAAGCTCAAGTCAACAGGGCTCTCAGATGCAGACTCGAGTCTTAAGTGTAAAGAATTTCCAAGAATGAAGACCTGACAAGTGCTGTGCTGGCGCATGCAGTAGTTGCTCGATACGAGCTATAATCTAAACTCCTAGTATCCCCCTTAAAAACCGCAATAATACTCCCTGTAGACCCTAAACCCCCTTTTTAGGAGTTTAGACTATACAGTTCATCTGCCAGCAAGTCCAGTCTGGGTGGCCAGCTTGCAGGTGCCTTGCAAACCAGGAGACCCTAAATCTGACATCTTCGTTTGTGTTCTTGCAGATCTAGCATACAGATCAGGATCATGCTGATAGAGGCCTTCGCAATGCTTGCCAGGATGTACGAATTGGCTGCCAGTGCTGCGTAAACTCTAGTTGCCACAGCCAAAAATTCGTTCATCTCAACAAAGCGCTGGTGATCAGCGGAGCGTGCTGACTGTGAAAGCCTTGCCTCTGAATGCAGTGATGCCCATCTTGCAATCTCGCAAGGACCGAAACAGGTAACTTCTGAAAACGCTTGTGGCGAAGCCTCTACTCGCATGTCTGCCATCTCTACGGCAACACTTCCCTGAAGCAGGCAGGACCCTACATACCCCTATATGAAGCTAAAACCCAAAACATCCCTATGTATTCCTATATCCCCTTATACATCCCTGAATCTCCCTACCTAGACCCTCCTCCTACCTTCTATTAGGGCCTAAGTACCCACTATTGGGGACCATATATCCCCAATTAAGGGTACAAGGAGGGTCCTGGTATATACCCCTATAGCCCCTTTAACTAACTGTCTTGGCCCCCCAGGGCATTGTAGTGATGGGCTCCCACCGCACTTGGTCACCGAGGCTCAGCGTCTGATGCTATGTGAGCTACAGTCTAAACTCCTCCAGGGTTTAGGGTCTAGGGTCTAAACTCCTAGTATCCCCCTTAATGACCCCTATAATACTCCCCTCTATCAGCCCCTTCAAGGAGTTTAGACTATAGCTCACTTGGAACTTCAAAGGCCGATGGTATGAGCAGCTGTGGACGTAAAACCCAGCATGCGTTGTGGTGGTACATACACCCCCCAACCCATCCCATCGGATTTGTGAGAAGCTCACTGCCAGGTGCTACGTGTGAATTGTGCTCCTGATGGAAGTCTCCTTGCATGCTGATGGAGCAGCTTGGATGTTAGCAGGTGGTTCAGGTAGATTTGTATGTGCACAATGATTAGTTCAACAAATCTTGGCTTCGGAGGCTTTGGAGGCAAGCAGCACTTGATAGCGCTTGCCTCCCGGGTTGGAAAAAGGTGAATCCCGGGGGCCTCTCTCAGGTCTCACTCCTCGCCTTCCGGTTGGCCAGCCCCCTCATCGAAATGAGCCCGTCCCAGGCGCAGCATCTGCGTCATTTTGTGACGGCAGGTTTCGAAATCCTCGTAAGGAGGCATGTCTAAGGTGCAAATGCACGTGTGGGCTACAGGCAAGGCTTGCTTGGAGAGATGGGCCGCACCAGCCAGCGTGAAAGCATGCTTGGCGCCGTTGAAGCCCACCAGTTCGCTGAAGCCACCAACAGGCACGCGCGCACTGCCTGTCACAAACTGTAGGAGCTGTGGCAGGAGGCTTTCCTCTGATGTGGCCCAGTCCTTCACAACCCGCCAGAACCAGCCCACAACTTCGCTTTGCTTGCTGAGGCCATGTGTGTAAGAGGTGTGTTGCTCCCAATCCTCTACAGAGAGCTTTCCACCCAAGCCGGACAGCAGCTGTGCAATCTCCACGGGGGTCAACAGACTATGCATCTCCTGCCGGAGCTCTTCCTGGGTTGCTGATCAGGAACTTGATCTAACTCACCGTTTTACGGAACGTATCCTTGACACCATGGGCCTCTAGTATGGCCCCTTAACGCTGGGATCCTTATATACCTACTACATGCCCTATGTGTACCCCAAAGCATCACTAGAATCCCCCAAAAAGGCCTGAGGGCCCTTATTGTGGGCCAATACTTCTAAGCTTTCATCATGGTAACTGGAACCCTGAACCCCAAACAGTAAACCCTGAACCCCAAACCCTGAACCCTAAACCCCAAACCAACCCTAAACCCTAAACCCCACACCCCAAACCCCAAAGCCCAGCTTCTGGAAGCACTTTGCTCAACCCTCTGGCCATGGCATCAACCTGAGGTCTGATACCCTGATACAACCTCCAGTCTGTAAGTGACTCCACGAAGGACTGCTTGTTCTCGTCAGTCACCACCTGGGAGTAGGGCCCGGAAGGGGAAAAGGACCAAGGGGGGGGAAGATTTAAGGGATCTATAGGAGCTATAGGGAGTTTCTGAGCTTTAGGATTCTATAGAGATCTTTTCGCAAAATGCCCACCTTAGCTTCCAGGTCCTGGTCCTCCCACAAGGCCACCTCCGCTGATCCGACTTTGGGAAGTGGCTCAAGTTCACAAGACCGGTCATCTCCAGCCAAGCGGTTTCTGACGTAAACCAGAGGAGGCAGGGACGGTCGACTCTGCATAGATTCGTCCGCCTGTTCTTTGCCCTCTGTGTCCTCCTCATTGGTTTCGACTGCCTCCTCTGTTCCAAGTGGATCTGAGAAGGTAAGCTCAATGCCGAGCTGGTTGATCGGATTTGCAAGAAGCCACTGCACCTTGTGTCGAAATAGCTCCTCATCCATCTCACTGAGAGTGGTTGTCAAACGCTCAGAAGGGAAGCCAAACAGCAAAGCGCACACGTGGGGGTGAAGCGGGAGGTCAAGCGTGCAGTTCTGCCACAGTGCAAGGCCTACAAGGCACCCTAGGATCTCGAAGTCCATCTGCCAGCCTTTGTTGCAGAAGGTGGCTGCAGCATCCGGCCAAAAGGTTTGCCTTTGGTCAAAGCTTCTCAGCAGTCTCAGCCTGGGTTGGAGATAAACATCTCTTGCCACAATGTCCATCCATTCCCGCACCACTGCACTTCCAACACCCTGTTCCCCTCGAAAGCGCACTTCAAAGTCCCCACAGATGTCAGGACTGCCGATGCCGGTTTTCTCGGTGAACTGCTGGCGGAGGCTCTCAAGCTGTTTCTCCACAGACAGCCACCTGTCGCTCTCCACGAAGGCCTGGGAGGGCCGGCGAGAAGTTAAGAGATTTTGAAGAAAACTGTCAGTAAGGCTCCATGCCAGGATTGTTATCGAAAGTTATTGAGTGCCGGGCAAGTGGAGGCTCAGCCAGGTCCCCGTCCGTGTTGGTGGCCTGCTGCGCGCGATGATGCCGCACCTGACGTTCCAGGCTTCTTCGTGGAAACAGCCCCGATTACTCCAAACGGATCAGCGTCATGCACTTTGATGGATCACAGCAGTCTACTCGTGAAAGTCAAGGCTATTCACGTCAACATTACTCGGAGCTTGGGGCCCTAAGGCCACTTTACAGAACCTCAAGGCCAAGCCGCCAAACGACGTGTCAGCCACACCCGCTTCTCTGGCACGCTCATCCGCAGCAGAAGCTTCTCCAGGTCATCCGTAGGCTCGCCATGTGCCGAGAGGGCCTCCAAGAGGCTCCAGGCCTGAGGCAATCGTATTACTATGATTATTAGTAGTATTACTAGCATTATTCTTCCTAAGAAACTATTATTTCTATTGGTATAGTAGTATTCTTCTTATTACTATCATTATTATTGTGGCTGGCACCGCATCTGGCGTGCACTTGGCACAAGAGACAAATGGTCTCACCAACAGTGCAACACTGTATATGCTGTGTTTGAACTTGACTACTCTCGACGGACTACCTCTCATGTTCGTTTCAGCTATAGTCTAAGCTTAGTAGCACCTATCATACTAGGAAGTTCAGACTATAGTTGTCGGGCCTCATGATTACATGTGCGAAAACGACAATCATGGGGATAAGCATGCTCATCAACATCCCGAGTCACATGAGCTGACCCTCACAGGTTCCTTCGCCGACTTTACTCGACAACGTTTACTCCAGGGTTTTACTCCTACATGAGGCGAATCTTTGCTCCTAGCGCAGAATTACTCCTGATTTTCACTCGTAAACTGATTTACTCCCGTTTTCTACTCGTAGACCTTGAGAAAATCACTCACAAATGGGTTTTCTCATAAACTTTACGCAGCCGGTTGCTCGCAAACGTTACTCCGCAACGTTTACTCCAGGGTTTTACTCCTAAATGAGGCGAATCTTTACTCCTAGAACACAATTTCTTCTGATTTTTGTCATAACCTTTGAGAAAAACACAAACGGGTTTACTCGTAAACTTTACGCCGCCGTATTCTCGTAAACGGTACTCCGCAACTCCGGGGTTTTACTCCTAAATGAGGCGAATCTTTACTCCTCGAACACAATTACTCCCGATTTTTACTCGTAAACTGATTCACTCCTGTTTTCTACTCGTAGACCTTGAGAAAATTACTCACAAACGGATTTACTCGTAAACTTTACGCAGCCGTTTACTCGTCAACGGTTTAGGAGATTGCGAGTCCAATCTAAGGGGGGATGTTGGGGGACATGTTCATGTGGATGCTTATCCTTTGAAAAATCCGCTCTATTCCAAACCACCAGGCAGGCATAGGCCATCTCAATAGTAGCACCTATCATATTCCCCGATATAATCCCCTATAGCCTATATAACCCCTCTAGGAAGTTCAGACTGCAGTTCATTTCATCAAACGGATCCTGGGCGATATCAGCAATGCGTCCACCTGCCAGGGGCCACGGCGGCGGAGAAGGGGAGGAGGCGGACGTCAAGACCGACCTGTTGGGCTTTGGCTGACTCGCGAAATCCCGACCCACCAACAAATTTAAAACCCACACCTCCCTAATATCTTATGGTACACCACATGGGGAATATGTCATATGCGGGTGGGGGAGTGGGGGTTTTTTTAATGTTACAGGAAGAAGGATTATGATCAATGCCTTTCACCTTACTTTGATTCCGGCCTCACGATCACAACCTCTGAGTCACGCGATCTTGCCCCCAGTGTCACACCATCTTTGCCGCTAATCATGAAGGCAGGTATAGAAGGAAGCTTCTCCCCGAAGAGTCCCATGCGAAAAGGCTCCATGGCATCGAGGTCGTTGAAAACAATAACCTGGGTTGCTGTTAAGGAATTTAGACTAAAATACCATAATGGGTATATGGGGTATTGTGTGGGGTGTATGGGGTATACGGGGTTTGGGGTTTGGGGTGTGGGTTACCGTCGTTTGGGTGTGTGGTGAATCATCGGGTTTCCTTTTTCTCGTAATTAAAGTATTTTCCTTAACAGCAACCCCAGCAACTGCAGAAGCACCTGCCTGCTCAGCTGATGACACAGCCTGGGCCCAGTTGTGAACCTTCTGGCTTGAGCGGATTGATCGCCTGGACATTAGGACTGCCTTGTTCTTCATCCGGCTATCCTGGGTTGCTGTTAAGGAACTTAAATTCAGTTACTATATCGGGGAAACCCTAATACTTACTGTATATATGTATATATACCCATTATGGTGACTTAATGTAAGTTCCCTAACAGCAACCCAGTATCTTGGATGTAATCCGCAGATCCAACAGGAAAGCCATCCAGTTCATGGAAGAGCAGGAGCTGCTGAGCAGAAACCGTCTGCCATCCTGGTGGCGACCCAAAGTCAGAGTTAGCCTGGGCTGCTGTTAGGGAACTTAAATTAAGTTACCATGATAATGGGTGTGTATATATATAGTAATTACATATGGGTTTCCCAATATAATGACTTAATCTAAGTTCCTTAACAGCAACCCAGTAGCTGAGGGCTCAGAGTTGAGAGTTTCCTCTGGGCTCTCCGGATCAATCGCAGCCAAGACATTTCGGTTCCAGGCAGCCGGAACTGCTGCACAGCTGTACTTTTTGTCGGCCTCCGACTCGAGAGAGCCGGGATCCCCAGCCGAATGGATCGTGGCCTGCTCTGCTAAGAGGCTAGCCTTGGACTCAAAATTCGCGAGTGTGACAAGCTCCGGTGCATGAGCCTTGTCAACGGTAGGACACGCCTGGGCTCGGCAAGACTTATACGAGTCGTACCAATACACAGACGCAAACAAAAAATCTAAGGAACTCAAAAAAGGCTGCTGCAGTGCGGCTGTGGAGCAAGTTCCTGAAAAAGTTCGTGGTGAAACTCCGCCCAGGATGGCACAAGGTCATCTTCATGACCTGTGAGAATGTTCTGGGCAAGCACGCCGTCAATCTCGGGCGGCGCATGTCCCGCATCTGCATCGAAGATGGGGGCCTCTTCTGACATGTCTTGCATGTCCTGCGACGAAGCGCTGGACGAAGAGGCCATGTGAATGTCACTGTCTTGCTCGTTTGGCAATGCATCGCTGGCTAAAGCATGCGCTAAAGACCGCGCAGCGCATCGTATGCCGGCCCTAGCCGCAGGGCACTTGGCCTCGAAGAGGCAGTGCAGCAGATCTAGCGCTGCCGTGTTTGTGCAAGCTGCAAGGGACAGCTTGCTCAGCAAAGGCACTCCCAGCCACATGCCACGCAACAATCTTGACTGTCCATCGCCATCTGGATCTGCCTTTGCAAGAGTCTTGAGAGCCCTGCAGGCATAAACTGTGAACAGAGCATCGCCTTCAATGAATAGGAATAAATAGCCCAGTGAGTTCATGAGCCACTCTCCAAGCCTTTGGGGTGGAGGTGGCGGTGGATCAGGGATCCACCGGAACAGCGTGGGAATGCCGGCTGATGACGCGGCATTTAAAATACTGGCGAGGTTCGGGTCATTTCCGAGTGTACCGAGAATCCTGGAGATGTCAGCACCTGGACCCCGACTAGAATTCGCAGCACCCGCATCTCCCGAAGAAGGCATAGCTGGCAAAGGTATTGACGCCAGATCGGAGTCATGATCGGAGCTGTCAGCTGCTGCAACAGCCGCAGCTGCAAATCGCATTTGCTGACGCCAAGCCCTGAGTGGTTGCCGGCTCATCTGAGCAGCGCGCCACCAAGGAACGTTGTTCGCCCTGGCAGCTTCCCAAGTCTCCTCTGGTGTCTCTTCCATAGGCTCATCCTCGGCTTCCTCATAAATGTCATCCTCATCACCGCCAAACTCCTCACCGAAGAGATGGGGTGCGATGAAGAAATCCACCCTGGCCTGGGTCTTCATGGCTGCCGCTGCCACACCAGGCATCTGAAGAAGCGCTACGAGTCCCAGCGGCGTGGCGTGGTAGTCACGCACAGACAGTGTGAGCCACTGGCAGAGCTGAACTGTATCCGGCCAGTTCTCGCACTCGTACTGGATCAATGCCATGGGCCTGAATTTTTACCATGCATCATGACTGTAACCAGAAATTTGACTGCGCTTCCCAAGGACCTAGCCGACTTGCTTTCTTGCAGGACTGATTCATATTACGCATGTTTTGTCTATGTTTAGGCGTAGGCCTTCCAATCTCGAAGAGTCTCTCCAAGTAGCAGGCAGCGGCCTTCCAGGGAACCGCGCAGCTGCATCCGCAGACCTCCTCCACCTCTCGCTCTGGCTCGGGCCTAGCATCCACCAGCCATCGCAAGAGGCCTCCCAGGAGCTGTCGCACCGCAAGTCTCCGAAGCCCGTCGTCAGCAGATGGGCAGGTCGCGAGCATGATCAGGGCGCTTGCAGCATGCTTTGCAAGACCGTGATGGATCTGCCAGCCAACTCTCAAGGCAAGACTGAGACCCTCCACGATACTTCTTGCATTCTGTAGCTTGGTGGAGAAGGACTTTGGCGCACCAGACACTAATTGGGCACATGCGTGTACGATCTGCTCATAAGCATCGCAAAGGCGTGGTGAGTCAAAGAGCACTGATGTGTTGACATGCAAAGTCTGGGCCAGCAAGGCAATCTGTGCATCCAGCACCTCTGCGTTGCTATCCACAAAGGCATCTGTGGTCCGCTGAGGGTCCTCGAGAGTCCGAAAGAGATTCTCAAGGCCAAGCCTGGCAGCAAAGACCAGCTCTTTGAACTGTTGGAGGATGTTTGGGGGAGGCTCTGCCTGTACAGCCGCCAGCTGCCTTGCAAGCTCCGTGTGGCCTGGCTCTAAGGCCAAACCAGCCTGGAAGCTTGCAGCCGCGTCGGCCGCACGGCCCAGCGCTAGCTCAGCCTTGCCCTTGGCCAACCAGCCATCCAGACATTTGCTGTCCAAAGATACGCAGGTCTCCGCATCATCCAGCGCCTCGATGTGCATCTTCGACTCATGGTGAGCCTGCGCTCGAGCTAAATATACGCCTGGGTCCGGAGGGTTCAGGAGCACCGCTTCGCCAAGCAAAGCAAGAGCTTGATCCAGGTTGTCAGCGAACCGAGCCCTCTCTGCAAGACTTTGAGAGTCGCTTGCCGCTTGAGGTGAAGGATGGTTTCCTGAGGGAGGAGACCCCGGGGTTTTGCACTAAATTGGTAGTGTTGGTTGAAAAGAGCCTTTGCAGCTGGGCAGCTGATTCTTGTCTGTTCAGATGATTCCATTGCATTCCTTCTGTTTAGAACACAGAGCCTGGATAGAGGGGGACCATCAGCAAGTGCCCATAATCGGGCGGGCGCCGTGAGAGGCGCCCTCGCCGCACGAACCGCAGAATCAGTGCTCCCAGGCGGCCGAGCGATTTCGCCCAGCAGCCCACTTTACGGCACAGCCACAGAGCGGAGAGGGTAGTGCTAAGGCCAACCAATCTGGACAGGATCACTTGGGGCTCCCGGAACCAGGGCATGGCATCATCGAGGAAAGCAAAGACTTTCACTTACCTCAACTGACACCTGGTTCTGGTGTGTCTACTGCTGGTACTGGATGATGGCCAGCTCTTCAAAAGTCGGCTTGGGAGAATGGCGCTGGCATTTTAATGTAGCCGGTGTGGTTTTCATGCTGTCTTTCCTGCGTTGCACGTTTGAGCTTTTCTTGCTGTTGAGCCGGGAATGAAGGGATGTGCGTTCTTACAGCTGCAAGCAGCACCTTGTTGAACAACTGCATCCATCTGCAAGGTGAGTTGCTCTGAGAGGCTTGCCTTTCAGAGCTGAGATCTTCCAGTAGTTGCGAGATCTCAGTTCAAGCAGCTGTTACCCACAGTGCCGTCTCTGGCCCTGCTGTCTGGGGGTCCTGCCATCAATGAGCAGTTTACACGTAGCTGCTGGTCCCCATTCAGGACTGGGGCCTTCAGGTCCTGCAAGGCTCAAAGTCACCCTTATGGGGTTATAAAGGGATAATGGAAAAGAAAATGGAATCTATTCATTAGGATTAGGGTTTAGGGTATAGTCCCCCTGAAGTAGATAGTCAATATGGTATATTCTGGTATATAGGGGATATATTGGGATAATGGAAAAGAAAATGGAAACTACTATATCCTGGTACATAAGGGTTATAGTAAGTAGATGGTATATATGGCTTTGGGTACATTATAATAAGATCCCCATATGCCCTATATTCTATCTACTTTAGGGGGACTATAAGGGCCTGAGGGTTGAGGTGTAGGGTTTAGGGTGTCGGGGTTAGGGTGCCCAAGGTACCAAGTACATGACTTCAAATGAAAAATCGGGATATTACCCCAAGAATGGAAAATCAAATGGAATTGACAAGAGACGTGGGGTTTATACAAGGCTTATAATCCACTCCCCTACTATCAAAACCCTCCCCACCCCCTCCCCCCAATCTAATGTATTCCCCATCTATTCTATGATATACTCCAATGGGAGTATCTTAACATTGGGGCCCTAAACCCTAGGGGCTTACGGTGCTGTGGACTTAAACGCGCTCTATCAGCCTCCGACTCAGCTGTTGGACCTTGTTCAAGCGACCCCCCCCCAACCTCCCTCCTACCTACTATATTATAGTAGGGTATATATTGGGGGCTATATAGGGATAACGGAAAAGAACATGGAAACTACCCTTTTTCTCGGATGTAGGAAGTCCTCCATCACTTGAAAATCATGGCGCTGTACTTCCTACAAGTAGTGTGCAGGGTTTAGGGTTCAGCCGTATAACGTACATGTGGTACAAGATTTCCTCGATCCAACTAACCCTAAACCCTAAATCCCAAACCCTAAACCCCAAACCCCAAACCCTAAACCCTAAACCCTAATCCCTAATCCCCAAACCCTAAACCGTAAATCCTATCACCTCCTTCAGGTGGAAACTCTTGCTCGTTGGCTGCGTTTGTGCTTGGATACCCTACACCCTAAACCAAAACCCCTACCTGGAGGCCCATGGGACTTAGTAACTACATATACTTGGGCTTATAACCCTACTTATAATCCCCCTAAATGGAGTTGCTCCAATTATAGGTAGGGTTATAATCCCAGTTATAAGTAGTTACTAAGTCCCATGAGCCCAAGGATGTTAACGGCATCCTCCAAAGCCCAGCCCCTGAACAGTCATCTTACATTCTGGAGTTTGAGGTTCCAAAATCAAAAACTAGAGATATTACCCCCTAGAACGGAAAGTCAATTGGAAAAGAATATGAAATGTGAAATGGACACCAGCACTACGCAGGAATTCAAACTGGCAACCTCCTGCCCCAGGCGGTCAGGTTGTTATGGGAGCCGTAAAGCCTATACCCTTAACCCAGACCCTTAAACCCCGAACCCTAAACGCTAGCCCATAAATCCTAAGCCCTGAACCCTAAAACATTTAACCCTACAGCCCTAAAACCCTAAGCCCCTAACTCCTAAATCCCAAGCCCTAAACCCTAGATCGCAGTTTTGCAGGGAAGGGGGAAGGTAGTTGCCTTGAGGATACGGCCAACGAAGGCTTCCACCTGATGCACCAGGGGATTATGATTAGGGTTTAGGGAGCTTGGGGGGTTTAGGGGGTTTGGAAGTTTGAGGGGTTTAGGGGTTCTAGGAGGTTAGGGGGTTCAGGGGGTTTAGGTGGTTGAGAGGTTTTGGATTTACTGGGGTTTAGGGCTTGCTGGTGGGTTTCGGGCTTAGGGTGGGTTAGAATAAAGACGCTCACCTCACTATCACCCGCAGCTTTGTACAGTTGAACATACCCAAAACTGAGCATGCGCACATACCAGTTTCCATGTCATTCTACATGTTCTTGTCCGTTTGAAATTTCTTCATTGGGGTAGTAAGCCCCACATTTTCTAATATGAACCTAAACACTGAATAGACAGACTGAGAACAGATTGCAATAGCGGCCAATAGCGTGGACAGTGCCTGCTTGAAGCCAAGCGCTGCCTGCTGAAGAGGAACCTTAGAATCACATGTTTCACTCCCCTGAGTGGAAAGGCAAATGGAAGCCATCATGTTAATTAAGGGTTCGTTCAGGGATATACTACCTCAATAATGGATACTCAAATGGGAAAAAAGTGAAAATTGAAATGTAATACCGGGTCCGCCGAGGCCGCCTGGGGCGTTTAGATCCAGGGCCGTTGGAAGAGTAAGTTAACCCACCCCCCA